TCAAAATGGTACCGAGTTTGTCCAGATCCATCCAGGTTAAGGTACCTTCAGGCTGCGATACATGGGAGCCATGCGGGTTGGCGCTGACAGGCCTCCCTATGGGACTTACTGCACAAAATGGAAAGAAGGGGCATCCGCCGCTACTTCTGGGATTTTCTCCAAAAGTTTCGGGTCTATCGACCTGCCGATTTGCATGCGGGTTGGCCCATTCATCCGCTTCAAAATGGTACGAGTTTGTCCAGATCCATCCAGGTTAAGGTACCTTCAGGCTGCGATACATGGGAGCCATGCGGGTTGGCGCTGACAGGCCTCCCTATGGGACTTACTGCACAAAATGGAAAGAAGGGGCATCCGCCGCTACTTCTGGGATTTTCTCCAAAAGTTTCGGGTCTATCGACCTGCCGATTTGCATGCGGGTTGGCCCATTCATCCGCTTCAAAATGGTACCGAGTTTGTCCAGATCCATCCAGGTTAAGGTACCTTCAGGCTGCGATACATGGGAGCCATGCGGGTTGGCGCTGACAGGCCTCCTATGGGACTTACTGCACAAAATGGAAAGAAGGGGCATCCGCCGCTACTTCTGGGATTTTCTCCAAAAGTTTCGGGTCTATCGACCTGCCGATTTGCATGCGGGTTGGCCCATTCATCCGCTTCAAAATGGTACCGAGTTTGTCCAGATCCATCCAGGTTAAGGTACCTTCAGGCTGCGATACATGGGAGCCATGCGGGTTGGCGCTGACAGGCCTCCCTATGGGACTTACTGCACAAAATGGAAAGAAGGGGCATCCGCCGCTACTTCTGGGATTTTCTCCAAAAGTTTCGGGTCTATCGACCTGCCGATTTGCATGCGGGTTGGCCCATTCATCCGCTTCAAAATGGTACCGAGTTTGTCCAGATCCATCCAGGTTAAGGTACCTTCAGGCTGCGATACATGGGAGCCATGCGGGTTGGCGCTGACAGGCCTCCCTATGGGACTTACTGCACAAAATGGAAAGAAGGGGCATCCGCCGCTACTTCTGGGATTTTCTCCAAAAGTTTCGGGTCTATCGACCTGCCGATTTGCATGCGGGTTGGCCCATTCATCCGCTTCAAAATGGTACCGAGTTTGTCCAGATCCATCCAGGTTAAGGTACCTTCAGGCTGCGATACATGGGAGCCATGCGGGTTGGCGCTGACAGGCCTCCCTATGGGACTTACTGCACAAAATGGAAAGAAGGGGCATCCGCCGCTACTTCTGGGATTTCTCCAAAAGTTTCGGGTCTATCGACCTGCGATTTGCATGCGGGTTGGCCCATTCATCCGCTTCAAAATGGTACCGAGTTTGTCCAGATCCATCCAGGTTAAGGTACCTTCAGGCTGCGATACATGGGAGCCATGCGGGTTGGCGCTGACAGGCCTCCCTATGGGACTTACTGCACAAAATGGAAAGAAGGGGCATCCGCCGCTACTTCTGGGATTTTCTCCAAAAGTTTCGGGTCTATCGACCTGCCGATTTGCATGCGGGTTGGCCCATTCATCCGCTTCAAAATGGTACCGAGTTTGTCCAGATCCATCCAGGTTAAGGTACCTTCAGGCTGCGATACATGGGAGCCATGCGGGTTGGCGCTGACAGGCCTCCCTATGGGACTTACTGCACAAAATGGAAAGAAGGGGCATCCGCCGCTACTTCTGGGATTTTCTCCAAAAGTTTCGGGTCTATCGACCTGCCGATTTGCATGCGGGTTGGCCCATTCATCCGCTTCAAAATGGTACCGAGTTTGTCCAGATCCATCCAGGTTAAGGTACCTTCAGGCTGCGATACATGGGAGCCATGCGGGTTGGCGCTGACAGGCCTCCCTATGGGACTTACTGCACAAAATGGAAAGAAGGGGCATCCGCCGCTACTTCTGGGATTTTCTCCAAAAGTTTCGGGTCTATCGACCTGCCGATTTGCATGCGGGTTGGCCCATTCATCCGCTTCAAAATGGTACCGAGTTTGTCCAGATCCATCCAGGTTAAGGTACCTTCAGGCTGCGATACATGGGAGCCATGCGGGTTGGCGCTGACAGGCCTCCCTATGGGACTTACTGCACAAAATGGAAAGAAGGGGCATCCGCCGCTACTTCTGGGATTTTCTCCAAAAGTTTCGGGTCTATCGACCTGCGATTTGCATGCGGGTTGGCCCATTCATCCGCTTCAAAATGGTACCGAGTTTGTCCAGATCCATCCAGGTTAAGGTACCTTCAGGCTGCGATACATGGGAGCCATGCGGGTTGGCGCTGACAGGCCTCCCTATGGGACTTACTGCACAAAATGGAAAGAAGGGGCATCCGCTGCTACTTCTGGGATTTTCTCCAAAAGTTTCGGGTCTATCGACCTGCCGATTTGCATGCGGGTTGGCCCATTCATCCGCTTCAAAATGGTACCGAGTTTGTCCAGATCCATCCAGGTTAAGGTACCTTCAGGCTGCGATACATGGGAGCCATGCGGGTTGGCGCTGACAGGCCTCCCTATGGGACTTACTGCACAAAATGGAAAGAAGGGGCATCCGCCGCTACTTCTGGGATTTTCTCCAAAAGTTTCGGGTCTATCGACCTGCCGATTTGCATGCGGGTTGGCCCATTCATCCGCTTCAAAATGGTACCGAGTTTGTCCAGATCCATCCAGGTTAAGGTACCTTCAGGCTGCGATACATGGGAGCCATGCGGGTTGGCGCTGACAGGCCTCCCTATGGGACTTACTGCACAAAATGGAAAGAAGGGGCATCCGCCGCTACTTCTGGGATTTTCTCCAAAAGTTTCGGGTCTATCGACCTGCCGATTTGCATGCGGGTTGGCCCATTCATCCGCTTCAAAATGGTACCGAGTTTGTCCAGATCCATCCAGGTTAAGGTACCTTCAGGCTGCGATACATGGGAGCCATGCGGGTTGGCGCTGACAGGCCTCCCTATGGGACTTACTGCACAAAATGGAAAGAAGGGGCATCCGCCGCTACTTCTGGGATTTTCTCCAAAAGTTTCGGGTCTATCGACCTGCCGATTTGCATGCGGGTTGGCCCATTCATCCGCTTCAAAATGGTACCGAGTTTGTCCAGATCCATCCAGGTTAAGGTACCTTCAGGCTGCGATACATGGGAGCCATGCGGGTTGGCGCTGACAGGCCTCCCTATGGGACTTACTGCACAAAATGGAAAGAAGGGGCATCCGCCGCTACTTCTGGGATTTTCTCCAAAAGTTTCGGGTCTATCGACCTGCCGATTTGCATGCGGGTTGGCCCATTCATCCGCTTCAAAATGGTACCGAGTTTGTCCAGATCCATCCAGGTTAAGGTACCTTCAGGCTGCGATACATGGGAGCCATGCGGGTTGGCGCTGACAGGCCTCCCTATGGGACTTACTGCACAAAATGGAAAGAAGGGGCATCCGCCGCTACTTCTGGGATTTTCTCCAAAAGTTTCGGGTCTATCGACCTGCCGATTTGCATGCGGGTTGGCCAATTCATCCGCTTCAAAATGGTACCGAGTTTGTCCAGATCCATCCAGGTTAAGGTACCTTCAGGCTGCGATACATGGGAGCCATGCGGGTTGGCGCTGACAGGCCTCCCTATGGGACTTACTGCACAAAATGGAAAGAAGGGGCATCCGCCGCTACTTCTGGGATTTTCTCCAAAAGTTTCGGGTCTATCGACCTGCCGATTTGCATGCGGGTTGGCCCATTCATCCGCTTCAAAATGGTACCGAGTTTGTCCAGATCCATCCAGGTTAAGGTACCTTCAGGCTGCGATACATGGGAGCCATGCGGGTTGGCGCTGACAGGCCTCCCTATGGGACTTACTGCACAAAATGGAAAGAAGGGGCATCCGCTGCTACTTCTGGATTTTCTCCAAAAGTTTCGGGTCTATCGACCTGCCGATTTGCATGCGGGTTGGCCCATTCATCCGCTTCAAAATGGTACCGAGTTTGTCCAGATCCATCCAGGTTAAGGTACCTTCACGCTGCGATACATGGGAGCCATGCGGGTTGGCGCTGACAGGCCTCCCTATGGGACTTACTGCACAAAATGGAAAGAAGGGGCATCCGCTACTACGTTAGAGAAAGTAGGTAGTGGAGGGTGCGTACTGCTCGAGATCCTGGGGACGAGGTTGATGGCTACCTGACCTTAGATTCATTAGGGTGCACTGAACCAATCAAGCCCCAAACAGTGTAAAATCAACAAAGTTCAGAACCAAATAACCTGCAAGCCGACATCACTGGGGTTTCTCAAACAAAAATTTAATTATTGTCTTGTACTTCATCTTTTTATTTCATTTCAATTTTGGGTAGTACTAGCTAATCGGCTCGCGTAGAAATTCTCACTTGCATTAATTCACTGCACCCATCAGGAATAATCAGAATCTTTTGGTCTGGGAACCAGACCATCAAATTGTGTAGGGTAGCAGACCAGTAAATAAACTTCCATAGACCCCAATGGTAAATGCTCACACTTCGCAAATTTGGGGAAAATACTCACAATTCTGTTGTTCGAGACACATCAAATTAAAGCTAATTTCATCATGGAATAGAATAGAAATTCATCTTTCATTTTCTTTTCAATTTCCGGGGGGGGGGGGGAACTAATGACCTTCAGGAAAAAATTTCCCTCCGAAGATAATCACCCCTGAAAAATAGTCCTGAAGCCCATCGCCATGTTGAAAACGATGCCTACACTCCATTGCAAAATAGAGCTCTTTAAGGGCCACAATTTCGTCCAAATTGAACGGAACTACACGTTCCCAGTCCTGTGCACGGCTTCCACCCTTATTTTTTACAAACCCTCAAATTCATGGCCCACAGCATGCTTAAATACTGAAGATTTTGAGGGCATGCAAATCGTGATTTAGCCAGCGCAGGCAATTTCGGACCGATTTACTGGTCTGCACGACACACCTGTAGAACCCATAGAACCGTCTTTCGTCAATGTGGCATAGCGCCCTCATTTGTTCAACTTTGGCGAATGTTGTCATTTAATTTTTTTTTTGACGTGACCCACATGCGTTTTTGACATCAAGCCGAAAGCCCTCTCGTGGGAAAGTAAGCGCAGAAAATATCGTCGGTAAAATGCTCGATTTTCATCAGTTTCTGAGCAAGAAGTGGTTTTGTCATTTGTGGATTTTGATTCTCTGCGTGTTCGTCGTCGAGTCTATGGTGGAATTCTGGAGAAATCTGGATACAATTTGGCCGAAAATTCATGCAGAAAGCGCGACTGTCCGCGGGATTTTTTTCGGTAAGTTTATTTACATGTACCCTCGGTGCATACATGCGTGCATGTGTGGATGGTTTATGGTGCGTCATGTGCACGTACTTCGACATGTGGCGTGTTCTGTTCAGATGTGTCAATATATGAATACTCTTTAAGTCATCAGAACCATTGTTGATACATGTAGCTCAAGTGTTGAATTATGAAAGGTACATAATTTGGATCCAATCTGTACACAGCATGGTATAAAAAATTAAGAAGTCAAGGAATTAGAAATGTTTCAGTGTTTGTGTTAGTTTTTGTTTTGGTGTCAATTGGGAAACAAAAAAAGTATTGAATTACATATTTATTTATATCAAATCACGAGGTATTTGTTAGAATGGGAATAAATTATCAAGGTTTATTAACACTAACAGTGTCTGATGGTCACACAGGTTTAAATCTCGTCAGTCAGTTTTTCTTTGGGTTGAGTGTAGTATCGTTTCCCCTTGTTTTCACAGCATGTGACCAAAATCAAGGAGGATACATGGGGGAAGGAGTCATGTCATTGTGATGTTATTTCCTTTAATTTACAAACGTTTTGGGAAAAGAAAAACGAATCCATTGTAGAAAAATTAACAAAACTTGTGTGTCTTCCCATTGACTTTTTTCATGAACATCAAAGTGGCATCAGTGTACTAATTACTATTCAGTGTACTAATTACTATTTTTTCCTTTGTTTGCCCTGTAAATTAATGAATACCGGTACTTTAATTAAAGCTAAGTTGATGTCAAAAAAAATATTTTCATGTGAAAGTAAGCAACAATTTCTATGTATTTATTTTCAGTTTTAGGTCCATGTAAGCACAGTGCGTCACTTTCTCCATGGTGAAACTAACATTGTAAATTTGTGTTCCACGTACACAGATTACATTTGAACTTTGCACTGTCAACACGTGTGCTTTCATGTACACTGCATGTACCATGGAAACAATACGGGTTTTCCCCTTCAGTTCTACAAACGGCCAGGTCTATTCTTCCTATTCATTGAAATGTTTATTTTTAGACATGAAGTCAATATATGAATGCATCCATTCTCTGCTGAACAAAAGTGCAGAATGGGGAAGTGACGGACAGGAGTGGATATAATGATTTATTTAGATTCCTGTGTGGGACTGCTTCTGTAGGCTGCTGGTTCCTGGCCCGGCGTTAATAGCATTATGCAAGAAGGTCAAGTTGTGGAAGTTAACTTCCTATAGCAGATCTGAGTTGACAGATACTGGATTGTTTATTGAGGGATTGAAACCTAACCACCTGAAAACTGTTGCAGCTATAACACCCATGCTTAAATAAGTAGGATTAAAGGAAGTATGGCCATGGTAGGGCCAAGTCTGAAAATTTGGGACTCTCAATACTGTGTATGAGAGTCCCAAAAATATTGAAAACATGCAACACAAGAAAATAGACTGGCACATGAAACAACCAGTCCAACAACTCTTCAGTACTGCATCTACCGGTATCAACTGTCAGCTGACTGCCAAAAGAAATATGTAGGATATCAGATACTAGGTCACTATTTCTACACATTTCCCCATACTTAGGCACCAGACTAATGACAATGAATGAAGACGTCAGTCTTGTCAAACAGTTGGACCATGGATGGACATGTACAAAGCTACATGTAGTAGTCTTTAGCCTTATTTTGAAATCACTTAACTTCCCTCTCATGAGCAAATTCTATAAATTGCCTCGTCTTGTCTAAAGTAGGGTCAGGGAACCAGACTACGAGGAACATTTTCCTCGATTTTTCCAGCATCTGTGAACACAAAACTTTGAAAGAGGCAGTGGAACAACTTTTAGTATAAAATACTAACCCCCAAATCCATCCATTCCTGAAAATTACAACAATTTAGCAAATGTTGTATCTATATGTAGTACCCTTAGCCCAAGTCTGTACAACCACAGATAAGGGAAAATGTGTTTCCTTGGCTTTGTATGTTTTCTTTACAGCTCAGCCACTGTTTACATGTAACATTGGTTGGATTGTGGCTCCATCAGGAAGGCTACTTGCACAATCAAAAGTTGCCTTTGGAGGCTGAGGTGTAGGGAGATGTAATCGACAGTTAAGATAGCAGTCCTGAAACTGTTTATTAGGAAAAGTCAACTTACAAGTCATGGCAGATGGCATCATGTACATTTTGAAATCCAAAATGCATTTTACATGCCAATTTATAATCTTCAATTGTTGGTTAAGCCCAAGTTAACAAAAAATACCAGTTAATCGTCCCTGCCTGCATCCTACATGTATTTTGAAGCGGCATCCTTTTATTTTTTATATATTTTTTTTCTGACCTCAAAAATCTATTTTTGTTGTGCTTAAAACATGCATAAATTGGGTCAAATACATGTAAACATTGTCCTAACATACCGGTACATGTAGATTACTCCACTTACTTGTAGGATAGCTTATAAAAAAGCTGGAGGTCATTTTGAACTGAAAAGTTGGTGGCCACTTTAAATTGAAATACATGGCAGCCATCTTGGAAAAAAAAAAATATATAAAAGCCCTTCATCCTCTTTTGTGAAGAAACCCGGACGCAGCAGTAAAAGGTCATTGTTTTAAATCCAAATATTTTACTTACCGAATTTTAAAACATTTAATTGTTGAGCATACCATGTCCAAAAGCATATTTTACACCAGAGGATTAAATAAAAAAATTATGAGAATGTATAAAAAAAAAATGAAATTCAACTTAAAATATTACTGGAGACTTAAATTCGAAGAAGAGTATCGGACTTCACAGTGCATATTTTCTTTTACTTGGAATCAGCACAAGACACTAGTTGTCAAGTTTGAGATTATTTCTTATTTAAGTTGTTTTAATTCAAATAAGTAGTCATTCATCAGTGGTTTAATATCCAAGTCCCCCAATGTGTGGGAATTGTAGCAACACAAAGCCACTTTTTGAAACCTTACCTTATGCTGTTATCAACCCTTAAATTCACTTATTAATGTTGCCTACATGTAGGGCTACTTTGGATATGTATTTTGATTTGCAAACCTGTTTAATAAAAAATAATATTGTTGAGGTTCCGTGAAGCTAATTTCTTTTAGAATTCATTGAAATATTTGCTTCTATTACATGCATTACTTTTTCTTCATCATACATGTACTAAAACCACAATCAATTTTGAGAAAAAAAATATGTAAGGTGTGGAACAACGTTTAGAACTTGTGTCCTCATTTGTGTGGTATTCGGACTTTAGTCATGCCTTTCTCAGCAAAATCAAGCCATTGTGATTTGGAATTTGTAATATTCAACTACACAATGGCAAAACAAATTGCTTAAATGCACTGCAGGGAAAAGTGGTCAAATCATTGAGTAATAAGTGTATTCTAGGATCCCCTTTCAATGTCATATCTTGAGTATGGTTTTTAAAACCCCACAACGACAAAAAAAGTTCTGTCATCAGGTGAAAAAAGGTCACAGTAAAAAAATCAGACATGATTTAATATTTGTCCCTGAGTAATATCCATTGGGATTTAAAGAGAATTACCTCAAGGGTAAGGTGCTTTTCTCAGGATATTTGGAAAATTCTGAGAATTGCATGTAAAGGAAAGTTCCTCTTCACATTAATTTGCCAGTTGGGTCAGTGAAAGTCAGGTTTTTGGTCCAAGTTGCTCAAATAGGAGCAAACTTGCCAATAAAAGGATTTAAGTTAAAACGAACAAGGTTTAAAAGATTTTTGAAACAAAAGTCAACTTCCATATTTCTCCTCAGAATAAACAATACCCAAACAAACATGTAATTCTTTTCCCTTGTCCAGATTTTGTATAAAAAAAGTCAAGTACGGTAGGATCAGATCCATGTTTGTATAAAAGGCCAACCTAACCTTTGTTATTTTTTGAATAATTTACAAAAGAGAACTGTTTTGCTCCACAGGATCAGTCTCCATTTTTTACATTTTCTTCTAAGGCCATGTAAAAATACACCAGTTTCTTGTCGCTGTCTGCTTCCTTTTTTTCCTTTTTTTTTTTTTTTTAATTCTTATACAATTTGCAAAATTGTGTCACTTTATTTGTTGCCAACAAAATCGTAGCTAGTAGGCTCCTTTTGGGTCAGCACAACAGTGGAGAAAATGGAAGAATTCCTTCGTTTTTTTTTCTTTTTCCAAAAGGCCGGACGAGAAACCACTTATTGTTTTTTTACTCAGCCTAATACCCTTAAGCTCAATTTTAAGACAACTTACACTTAGCTGAAGGGCTGTATCGAGGAAGAAACTATGGAGAACAGAGACTATTAAATAAGTTAAATCTTGAAGTATGGATAAGTGTACATTTCGCTATCAGTTTGTGGATGACGGATGATTTGCTGTTTGTCACCCATCAGCAGCTCGTAAGCCCCCTGTTCTTAGACGATCATCAAACGCTGCATAATCAGGCACGCACCTGGTTTTGATGATGACACAAATTTCGTTACCCAGCAGGTTTCCGGAAGTTTGACGGAAATGAACTTCCCTTTAAGGCCTCGGAAATGGCCAGCCCTGAACTTGACAGTGCGTGATCATGTTCGGTGGATTGCTCAGCTGATCATGTAGTTAACAGATGGTCCCAAAAAAAGTTGCAGTGTTACGATGTATGCACTTGTATTGTAAAGAGAGTGGAAGAATTCCTTGAAATGGTAAAGATTGGCGCTTGGGAGTAAACAAACCTTCCAGGATCTCCTTATATCCAAAATCATTTTTTTCTTGATTTTTGGTTAATTGGATTAGTAAAGCCCATCCGCTGTTAGTTTTAGTGTCCTGATTTGGTGAAAACACAAGGGTGTGCTGATAATTTTCATTAGTTTCAATGCCCACAGTTCCTGTGTAGACTATGTTGTTGGTGTGGTTTGTTGTTTCATCATAGAGTTTTAGTGGTTTCAGGTTCATACTCCACTCTAGTCAATTTTTTGCTCTCAGCCTCCAATACATAAACTTATTGAAAGCAAAACTCCAACACTGAAAGGCACAAGGATTTCCATAAGGAATTGAGGTCATTTCAATGTTGGGATGAGTGTAGTCCAATTGTCAAAATAGTTACACCTTCTCAGGCTACTTTCCCTGATCTGCTCTCATTTTCATAAAAGGAATTTAACAGTACTATTTTTATGATTTCTTGACAGTGGGGCAAAGGCACTCATCATCAGATCAAGCTGGACGTTAAAAGGACTCCTGCCTTTCCCGAGTGTTCCTCAACATCTTAAAAGGATCGCTACCCACCATGAGCAACCCCCCACCCCAGGGGCACCAGCACCACCCCCAGTCACCCCCAGTCCCCTCCAGCTCCTCATCAGCCCCACCGTCGGCCCGTGAGGGTCTGGTGGGTTCTCCCACTGTACCCCAACCACCATCTTCACAGCCTGTCGGTATCCGCGAGGGGGATCTGCCGGCTGGAAGGGTCGGCCATAATGGGGAAGCTATGTCCAGTCCGGGCATCGTGGACGGTGCGTATGACAGCGACAGAGGCAACAGCGTAGCCAGCACGGGAAGTGACGATAGAAAGGTCAGTGCACTTTTGTTTGTCAAGGACAGATCTGGGGTGAAGAAAAGGATTTCGTGAGGGTGAAGAATTATAGGGGATGGGTGTGAACAGGAGGGGGAGGGAAGCTGAAGGCGGGCACAGACCTTTGCAGGAAATAACCACAGCCCAGTTTCACAAAGAATGATACCCAGTTATGTGCCAAGCAAAAAGCAGAACGGAACCGCTCATAAGCAGTACATTTACTTTCATTTTGGTTTGTATCGTGCTTCAGCTAAGCAAGTAAGTTCTTTGCGTGGACAAATCTCTGTGCTTGGCAGCTATGTAGAATTATCGCCATTTGGTTGGTTGATTGTCGTATGGCCGTGTTTTGGAAAAGACATTGATATCTACATTTAGTTTAAGGGCTCAGGTGCTGTTTTATTTTGCACATTTTGAAGGTCCGTTTCAAGTACATGTAACATTATCAGTTTTACCAGAAAAAAAAATCCCAAAACTCGACCCTAATCTCCAGACATGGTGTTAATTGGTACACGTCCCTCATTGGACATCATTTCTGCTTAAAACATACTGCAGTATTGCTCATTGCCCAACTATTCAATGCTTAAACTTGCCTCATCATGGGACCAGGAGTACTACATGTGTGCATGAAGGTCGCTTCAGAATGGGCTCATTATGACTAGCACTTTTGATTTCCCTAGCCACAGTCAAAATCATTCACATTCAGCTTTCAGATTTGACAGCTGTTCCCTAGTCGGGCCTCCCAGAAACCCAACTGCTTCACCCCTCCCTGTCCCTTCCTGGCCATGACAGCAAGACACAGGAACTTCTCCCCCCCCCCCCCCAAAAGATTGTAGAGCTGACCCCTGAACGAAGAGGAAGGCTTTGATTGATGAAGTATGTTGAAATGAACCGGTAGAAGCTGGCAAGGCTGACTGGGGGGATCTGTGGTTAGCTAAGAGGCCAAGGTGGAAGCCGTGTACATGTGTACATGTAGGCGCAGGTCCCGGTACATGTAGGTCATAAGGTGGAATGACCTTAGAGAGTGTTAGGTGAGGGATTGGACTGTCATCATAATTATCAGAGTTCAAGTATGACTGGATTAAGTATTGCAAGTCAGTGAATGTAGGAATTCCAACCAGGGAGGGCCTTTTGTCCCAAAACTCTGTCTGACTAGTAGGTCCTCTACCGAAAATCCTCCTCCTTTTTTCCTGAATGAGTGGTAGTTTCTTGAGAAAATGTTCTACTTACAGTTCAGCAAATTTCCACATATTTGTTGGAATTACTTAAGACTTCATAAAATTTCAGCCATTTCAGTTGATTCACTCAGCTTTATTTAAATTGATTCACATTTCAATTGAAAGCAACATCTCACTTTTAGGAAAGTGACTTGGGTTTTACATGTATGCCTACAGTATGCATGTGATCACAAAAAACTGTATCCTAGGTTGTTGGATTGGAACTCCCTAGAGGGTCTATTTTTATCAAGTATAACATCATTCATTTTTGGTTTAAAAAAGATATTAAACACTTTTAGTCAGATTGGATTTTTAGGGGGGCGGCCGGGGAGGGCCAAAAAAAATGACACTTAGGCCTACCATAAAATACATTTCGTAATTAAGTGAATTGAACATAAGGTTATAGCTTCCAATCGATTTATTCCCAAGCTGGTTGTAAAAAGAGCCAGCAGGAAACATCAGTGCTGGATGCCGCTGTCTTGCTCTGGGATCCTCCACCTAATGGTAGCCATTTCATCCTTCATTTGCACCCCTCCCCCTTGGCCACTGTGCTGCTTGCTTGTTCATGGTCTTGGGGGGGGGGGGGAGGGGTCTGACCGGGTTTTGATGATAGTAATTTCTGAAGTTCACGGCCGGTTGTCTGGCCCGCAGTAAGCCCCCTTCAAGGAATGGGAAGCGAGGAAGGACGTAGTTAGCGCTGCATCCGGGTGGTGCCAGGAGCCTCAGCTTGCAAAAAAGCCCACTGGGTTCTTGAAGGATAGGGATTCATTAAACTCTTTTAAAGGTGTACTGTAAGTGCTGTCAACCAAACCTACATGTAAAAAACCCATTCTACAAACGAAAGGGGACAACAATGTTCTTTCTTGTCCAGACTTTTGGTACATGGGCAATATCACACTAATGGGCCAAAAAATGAATTTTTCAGAAGACCTTCAAGTTTTGATGATAAAACTATGATCTTGGGTCTCTCAATGTTTGCTGTACCGGTACACATTGCAAGCTTCAAACAAATATCCTCACCTGCAAATGACACAACGTGGTATTGTATTTTAGAAAATAAAGTGGATATTGTTTTAAAAAGTGTTACGTACGTAGCGAAGGACAGACGTTTTAGATAAAGTCACTAAGTAAGAAATATAAAGTTTAATGATCCCCTTATGTTGACTTATTTAAGAAGATGTACCGGTACCCTGGAGGAATGCTTATCAGTCAAAACCTAGAAAACTTAGAGTCAGTGTGAAGAATTATTTGATATTTTATAATCAGGATTTATACGTACAAACAGACTGGACATTTGTCACAAAAAGTGGAAATGCCCACATTCAAGTCTGTTAATACAAAAGTACATTCACCAATGACTGGTTTCTATCCTTGATGAACCATGGCTAGGGGTATCAGTTACTTTGAAAGTTTTTCATGTTGACCCTAAATTCTTAATGAGTCTTATTAAGAACGTGACCAAGTCTGCGAAAACCAGGCATGCAACTGGGAAATCACAAAAAAACAGAGGAAATTGAAATCTTTCCAATACATTGTACAGTGTTTTTCTATTTTTTTTAATGGCACACGTGGGAAGTTAAAAAAGAGGAAATCAGCTGATCCGAGGAAAAGTTGCATGCCTGCAAAATCCATCACTGACTCTGCTTCACATAATGCTTCAGGTCCAAATTCGCCAGAATGCACCACAAATCCACCACTGCTATAGGTGGATTTTGATGGACATGGTACTCTTGACTTGTCTGCCAAAATCCCCTCAAAATGAGGGGATGGATATTGATGGAGTTGGGAAGGTTAGGGTTAAGCTGGCATCGTTATCAAGTCCATGACTTTTGCCTACACCTACTGGCACTCAAATTTTCAAAAGGCCTCTCAAAAATTTGGGAAATCGTTTTGTCATAAAAAATGTGGGGCGGCAATCCACCTTTAAACCAATGTGTTTCGAAGCCTTAGGTGTCAAACATAAAACTGTTTGCAACAAAAGGTCTTCCTGCAGAATTAAAAGGAATTCCCCTCTGGCAGTTGAACAACCAAAATATTATGAAAAGGCGCTGGATAGTTGTTTCAGCACGGGACTCCACACAGAGGGTGGGGCCGATGGAATTACAAAGGTAATATTTCAAGCAATTGATTGAAAATTGACTGCTTTTCGTGACCACACAATGAAGGGGAAGTGAACTATTGTAGAGAAGTCAGGGCTGTGGGAAATTGGGCAACAACATCATGTAATGAGCGGGGAGGTAGTAGGGCTGGTGATATTTATATTTCTGTGCAGTGGAAAAAGTGATTGAAAGACAGAATTCCTCCTTTGAAATGGAATTCAGCTTTTAAAGGAAACCCCACAGAAAATATAAAATGTGTATAGCAATGGCGGTACATTGTAGTACCAACAAGCAGAAGCAGCAGTACTGAAGTAACTGAACCGGAAACTGCAGCAGAAACTGTGGCAGCAATGCTGCAGTAGCAGCAGAAAGCAGCAGTATTGTACCGACATGGTACCGGTAGCAACATTAAATGCAGTGGAAAGCAGAAGAGCAAGAACAAGCAATGGCAACAACAGCGGCAGTAGCAGCAACAGCAGTTTTTCACAAGCCAACTTCAGCGGCAGCAACAATACAGCAGCGAGGTTAGCAATTAAGTTTCAGCAGCAGCACTGAGCAGCAATTTTTGTTGAAGTTTCATAAGCAGCTGCAGCATAGGCAGCGATGGAAGCAGCAGCAACAACAGCAGCAATTCAGCACCAGGAGCTGTAATACATGTAGTCAGAGCAACAATAGGAGTGGGAGCAGCAGCAGCGGCAGCAGCATCACAAGACAGCAGTATAATATAACAGCAGTAACAACAACAGCTGCATCATAAAACAGTGGCAGCACAGCTATACAACAGCAGCAGTTGCAATAGCATTTCAGCAGCAGCAAAGAAGCAGCAGCAGCAGCAGCAATGGTAGCAGCAGCAATTCAGCATCAGAAGCTGCACTAGTTAGTATACCGGTACCGGTACTAGAGCATTAGCATGAACAGGGCAACAGCAAGAGTGGGAGCAACAGCAGAAGCATTAGCAGCAGTGATGGCTGCAGTATAGCAGCGACAAAAACAGCAGCAGCAGTAGTACACAATGTTCAGCTGCAGCACAGCAGCAGCAACAGCAAAGTTAGCATCAACATTGCAGCAGCACCAGCAGTGGCAGCCTGCTGTGACAGTAGCTGCTACTTTCTGATCCCAATATTATTAACCTGAACGAAAGAATTCTAACAGTAGCAGCAGGAGCATTTAAACTTGTAGCAAATAGATCTTCCTGAAACAGGCAATCACAAAATGATGAAATTAAGGGGTAGTGCACTTTTCCCCCCATCCCACTTAAAAAAAAGGAAATAAGGTAAAATGGGAAGTTCCTTTACACATAATTAAATTCCTAAATTGATTGACCGTGCAGGCTTTCCCCTTGCCTATTCAGCATCCCGGCCCACTGTGTGTGGTCATGCATTACTGCTGCCTTATTAGAGCACAACAAACTACGTGAAGGTATGCCGAAATTCCATTGTTGAATAGTGACCTACAAAAAAGGGGAAATGCTTTTGAAAGCAAGTAATTTCTTGCACAATAGGCTGTGTAGTTTGACAGTGGGATTAGGTGGTATTTTCACTGGGAGTGTTTAATTTGACCCACAGGAGCTTGTGGTGGCAATTACAATTTATCTCAGATTTAGTAATTGAAATATCTACATTATTGACATGTTCTTCTTATGGTCCAATTTATGGAAATGCTAAGCTTAAACATTTCTAAGCATGTT